CAAAAACCAACAAAACAAACAGACAGTATCATCTTTTGCTGTGAAGTACAGCCAGACTTTTGACCGCTTCGCCTTGGGCTTTTTTAATCTGTAGCTCTGCTCTAAAAGAACGTACGTACCTGGACCCGCCTACTATCCTCGGAAAGGTAAAATGATTGGCTAGAATCCAAAGTGTATGACATCTCAGGAAAAAAAAGCACTGAAATAAAGCACCGAAATGTGCGCTGCTCTGGTTACTACCGTTTATGTCAGAACTGGTGCCGTAATGGCACCGAATACCGGTACCCATCCCTACAGCCACCAGGAGTGAGCCGATGTGTACCTGGACGCCCATCCCTGGACACAAAGAACCACTAACGCACCGATGTCGGAGGGCGTCTGCCACTGGCAGGGGGAGTGGTGGGGGGAGATAGGCCTCCATACCATGGAGGGCCTGAGATGTCCCCAGAGAGGTGGCGTCTGATACCCGACCTGACATATAGACACAGACAAACAGGCACACACAGATACGAACATCCATTCCCATCCTCGTGATCTGGTATGCAATTACTCAGCACTCACCCAACGTGGAGACAGACATAAATAGACACTGTACACACAATCACACTAACGTGTTGACTTTATCAAAAATAGGGTAAACACAAAATAGAATTTACATCATTTATATTTGAAATGAAATCAGCCTTGAAAAATTGTACCATAAGGAAAACACAAAGCACATCTAAGCAATCATTTCCTAAGAAATTATATGTAAATTATGTTTCACTGGAGCAACTGGGCATGCTCCATGTGTTGCTCATGTTCAAAAGTTCGATGCGTTGAGGAATAAAAGCCAGATTTATTTAGGAGGGACAACAGGGCCGTGCAGATGGTAGTAGTTTAAAGGGGCGGGGGGGATGCCTCACATCCTTCACAACGTTATTTGCCTTACTCCATCTATGGTCCCTATAAATGCTTTCTAAGCTTGGTAATGCAATTCCCAACAGCTTACTAGCTCGTGCTGCTGTCTTGCCTCAGAAGCATTTTCAAACCAACAAATGATACAGCAAGTAAACACAATTTCAGTAAAGGCACAAGAAAACGTGATGCATTTTAAAATCTGCTTAGAAAGATAAAAGTTTTCTTGAAAACTATGTTCTTTGTTGCGTCTTACTATCCATGAAGAGTCCTGTTTCAGTCTATAGTCGAGCACAACTCAACTCCAGGGAGCTACTCATGTGCATGTTTGTGACCAAACTGGTGGTCCAAATGATGCCAGGAGGATGCCTGGATGTTGCTTTTTAGAGGTTTTCTTGTTGCCTCTCCTGTGCACCTCTTGTTAGTTTAATGTGCACCAAAGCAGGTGAAATGGATTCACACTGGATAATACTTCCTAACAGTTCCTACAAAAAGCTCCAAATCCTTTCCTAGTAATTGTTGACCCCGTTGTCATTCAAGTGAAACCTTCACATCTCTGTCTCTCATAGAAGAGCTGTTTGCTCTCATCCATGACAGCCTGGGAGGTAAAAATACTCCAAAGGTTCTACGAAGCCTCAGCTGCTACATTCAGGAGCACAAGACATAATTAGCCGAGAATTATGGATACGGGGCTTCAGCAGCTCCAGCTTAACCAGTCAGAACCTAGAGATTGTTTCGTCACCACCGTTGCCTGGGTAACGGGTGATGTGAGCCGGCGCTGGCGTGTTTTCTTTGACTAAGCAGAAAAGAGACCGTCTGAGATTGATTTTGTGTGTGTGTGTGTCAAGGCTGAGTTGTTTGATCACTGAGTCATGCTCAGTCAGTCATGCGTAGTCAGGGAACAGACTCTGCTGCTAAGAAAACAGTCCAGTACTTTTTTTTTCAACGTCTAAACCAAGTTTCCAGACGTGGTTTATTGGGAGCTTGTTTGCTTTGAGCTGTTCAAACATTGTCCCCGTTTTACAGGGCTAATTTGGGCTGTTTTTTATTGTTTGTTCAAAATGCCTCTTAGGACATTGAGGAGTGATGCATGAGGAATGTTAAAAGCCCGTACTGAGATTGTCCTTTTTGTGTGTGTGTCTTTAGGTACAACCCCACCAAACTAAGCAAGAGAAGATGAAATGCCTTCGTTTCAACATCCTCCAGAGGGGATTCATTTCAGAGGTACAGGAAGTATCAGCCCTGTGTGGAAGGACTCTAACTTCATGTATCTCTTTACGTTTGTATTTCATTTGTAAGTCATTGTTTTGGTTGCTGTTCCTGTTCTGTTTTTTGTTTTGTTTTTTAGCTCGTCTAATTAAGCCACTGACAGAAGTAATGTAACCAAAAAAATAGTCGCATGTTCAAAGGTTTTTGTTCCCAGTTTTTATTTGTCAATAATAAAAAACATGGCATACAAAACATTAAAAATGCTTCAGTTGAGCTTCAAAACTCTACATGCTGAAAGCAGCTTTTCCTTCACTTTGAAGTTTAAGACCCAATGTGTTCCCTGGTTTTAGCAGAACTACAGTAGAAACTCCAGAGGGATTCAAGTGTTACCGTTTCTTAAGCGATCTCTAGAGAGCCGACCTCGCAGGCACTTTACCAGATCTGAGACTGTTCAGATAAAGAGTCCTCGTGCCAAGTATTTGTTGGCCTTTCTGTGCAGATAACTAAATCCTACCTGCCCCCACATAATCACAGATAGTGTGGCTTATAAGTTAAGGGTTAATTTGGCATTCAGCATAAATTGTGCAATAACAGAACTTGTTTTTGTTTTTTTTGTAGTGGGCTACAGTGTGGCAAAAGTAGTCAGGAGACTGCCTTCAAACACAATTTGAAATAACAATAAGGTTACATAGCTTAAGTTTTTGATTCCTAAGTTACCTTTCAAAATCTATACAAGTCTGAACAGAAAATATAAATAATCTTGTTGCTTTAGAAGCTATGATCAGGTGTGTCTTACCTTGATGTAACAGCCTCATATTTTTCTCTTTAAGCAAAGACAGTAATCTCCATTTTTGAATCATTCAGCCCCCTGTGTCGTCCTTAAATTCACTCTTCTCGCATCTGTCCTCGTAGCACTTTACTGTCTGTTAGCTCAGCAGCTGCTGCTAGGCAAAAGTTCATGCCTGCATGCATATATTTAATATTTATATCAAAACAGTAGTCCAAGTACATGAAAATAGTTCAAGGGTATAACTCAGGTGGAACACAAGTATCAACATTTTCACTAGTTAACTGTTATTTGAGTGTCAAAACAGTACCGCTTTAATCTATTCTGTTAGTGGAAAAAGTAATATGACTACGTTACATCTTATTTAGTAAAGCATTGCCCCCGACACTGACTTATTTTGTACTGAAGGGGGGCAAAAAACAAAAAAGATCAAAACATCACATCACAGTAAAGAAAGCATGAGCTGTGCGTGAGCGGCAAAAAAAAAATATTCATGCACATTATTCAGACAGGGATTCAATTAAAAACAGGAATTAAAAATTGATTGCTACGGTCACTTTTTAATAACCTTTCTCTTATTTGGCACTTAACAAAACAGTCATGGCTGTTTACTGTGATAGTGTAATGAAATGGGCAGACATGAGGTGCAATCAAAAAGTTCTAGGACTGCGCTTGTAAAAATCAAAATGCTTGCTTGACTTAAATTTGGTATATATCCCCCTTCAAGGTTAACTTCCTGTGCACCGCTGGGCTGCTGTCAGTTTGACGTTATTTTTAGGTCGCTTTGTAGCGGTGTCAATTTTGTTAATAAATAATTTTTAGTAGTTTTTGTGAATAATCTTCTTCTTTCTGACAAAAACTTGGGGTTTGGGTTTGCATGCTTCGGGTCTCACACCTCACCTGATGCTCTACTTCTGAGCTTGGAAACTATGGACTCTACAGTGACATCTGCAGGATTGTACTCAGACATGAGTAAAGTTGGTTTAAACAGAGATTTTGAAGCTTCGTGAAATCACAGACTTTGGACTCTCAAGAAAATATTTAAAAACAGCGCCCTGGAGATGTGCAAGAAGAGGATCTTGAAGGAGAGATCTTTATTTTGTTGTTGTTGCTTATGAGCCCACCCCAACTGGTCACGGCAGATGGCCCCGCCCCTCCCTGAGCCTGGTTCTGCCGGAGGTTTCTTCCTGTTAAAAGGGAGTTTTTCCTTCCCACTGTCGCCAAAGTGCTTGCTCATGGGGGTCATATGATTCTTGGGTTTTTCTCTATTGTAGGGTCTACCTTACAATATAAAGCCTTGAGGTGACTTTTGTTGTAATTTGGCGCTGTATAAATAAAAATTAAAATTGAAATATGTGCAACTGTTTGATTGTACCATGTAGACGTATAAAAGTAGAGCTTTACAAAACAGTATAGCTCTACATGTCAATACAATTTAGGAAAACGGCAGTGAATATTTGACCTGTTAGGTGGATCATGTTTCACGCCATTAGTAAAAACCTATTAAATTAATATAATGATAGCTCAGTATTAAATCCTGATATGAGATTATGTAGTGGGCTTTTTAGCCCTTTAAAATACCATTATCAAATTACATAAATGCAAATGGATTAAATTTGGTATAACTGTAAAAGTGTGTATTCTGCAGTTTTAAAGCTCTTTAGCTCCATATGGGTTTAGATTAGGATAAGATAGTGTTTATTCTACCCAGATTTATTTTTTAAAAGTGCGGTAAGTATTGTAATTCTGGTATTTGAAGAAATGCATTATCAAGGCGAGACTCATTACTCTTTTAGTGAGATTTGAATTAATAATATATAATTGCCTTTTATTTTCAAGGGTAAAGTTAAGACTCATACTGGTGTTTCTTATTTTTTTCCTATTCAGTAAATTTTTTCTTAAATAATTCTCTGAGTAAAGATAGGAAGCGTGCATCAAAACAAAAATAAAAACGTTAGTTTTTGGCTGAGGTGTTTCACACACTGACTTTGACAATACTTAAAAAGGAGAAAAATGTGAAACACCAGAATGAGCTTTTAATAAACCTAAGTTTTTCCATGATATTTGAGTCCAAACAGTAAAATTAGCAGTGGGTGTGCAAGAAAAATCTGTGGTCACCGGTGATTGGGTTTAATTATTTTTCTGTCAGCAACCAAGTGGAGACCCAGAGGCTGAGTGTTGAACATACTAAACTTCTAGCAAGGTGGCTGCGCAGGTTGCCATGTGGTGTTTTAAGTTCTGAATTCACTAAATTACATCGACAGGTATAAATAAATAATAAATACTCTGACAGGGTTCAGAGTAAATAGGTGGTTCCTGGATTATTTTTCATTGGAAAAAAAACCCCAAAACATTCCCCTCAGTTTTTTTCCCCCATATTTCACACCCTGCATTGGATAATTTGGAGAGCCCTGATATGATGCCAACACCTCCAAAGCCCCAACAGATTCTCGTTCTGGATGGCACCACCATCCAGAATGAGAATAAATATTTTTGTGGCAACAGATTTGAGTCTTTCACCAATTTTTCACAGTTTATCTCTGTATTATCACAAACAAATTGCGCATGATTTCCTTCTTGACCCAAACTGATCCCAGATTGGCTCGGTCACTCACAAAGTTGCTTTGAACACACCAGCTGATTGCGAGTAGTTGCAGACCTGGTCCCCATTTTCAAAGCAACCATCTCAAAGGCAACACAATTGCAAGTTCATTGCAGATAGTTGCAATACATTTCTATTTTCCCTAGTGTGACTGTAGCCATGAAACTGTTGGGTTACAGCGTGTCATAGAACAAACACTACTTGTGGCTGAATTCCAGTTTGTAGGTTTTGTAAGTCGGACCACAAAACCATCACTTACATCAGTAAGTTGGATGGGAATTAACAAGTGTCCTTATTTTTTTAGTTTTCCCTATAGGCTAAGCTAAAAAAGATTTAAAGCATGATACAACATCGAGTTAAGCATTGTTAGTAGATGAATTGAAGACACATGGTGAATGAATAAATAACCCTGATGAGTGTAAGGTCCTGTTCAGTTATGAGGTTACAGACTGACTAGAAAACGTTGGCACACAGTAGCTTGGACATATGGGGACTTCACATGAAGTCAGACAAGACTCTTGAAAGTTGTCTTTTGTTTCGTTAGAAACAAATTAAAGTACAACCATTGTCTTTTTTGGTCTTAAAAAGTTGTAAAAATGCTTTAGCTTTGATGAGAAAACACTGCATTAATGAAGAAAATATATTAAAAGTTTCTCCTCACCTTTTATATCATGGTAAAAGGGTTTGAAATGTGTGCCCTAAGATCAACGTGTCAAACTCTTTTCCTCATCGTGTTTTCACATTATGTTGTTTCCTCCGTTGCTGATGAGCTTCCCTTTCTTCTTGAGTCTCTTCAGCAGACAGGAGGCAATGCCTAACGCGCCACCCTTCAAAAAGCGAACAAAGTTGTCTCCCACCAGTGGGCCCATGGCAAACAGACCTGGCTCCTTGGTGCACTCGAAAGTGTAGGGGTCGATATCTATTGGATTTTGCTTGCAGGAGATGGGTCTTGTTGGATCCTGACCCAGGTACTGGCCTTGCCCCTTCAAGAAAAATAAGTCTGGGTTGGTCCCAATCAGAACCAGGACCATGGAGATCTTGAATGCCTTGAGGGAGTTGTTTCCCTGCAGCAAACACTTCATGTCAGACTGGAAGGACACCACACAGTGTTCGGGGAAACTGGTGTAGTCAGGAAACAGGTTAATACTAGCGTTACCAGCCACATTACCCGCAGCAAGCTGAGGCTTTGGGCACATCTTGGCACATACTGAAGAGGCAATACTAACTGCCTGGGGTCTGTTAGAAACAGAAGAGGGAGCCACGTTTGTGTAAGCCTGAGAGCACATCATGTTGTAGACTTTGTGGTACTCTGGGTACAGTGTCTTGGGAAGCTGCTTAAAGATTAGGTCTGAGTCGTCAATTCTCTTGCGAAAAACATGCAACACTCGAATGTTGCTGTTGCAAGCACACAGAACTGCATCGGCAGCGCTTAAACCAGCACCCACGATTAGAACGGGATCGGAGTTCTTATCCAGTTTCCTCTGGCTAACTGCCAAGCCTAGATCTGAGATACTGTGGAACACAAAAGGCAGATCCTCCCCCTCTACTCCCAGTCGAACTGGTGAGTCGGAAGCACCGGTGGCCAGGACTACATTTTCAGCAAACAGGCAGAAAGGGACGTGAGTGTCGTTCTGCACCTGCTGGTATCCCCTTACTTCCCAGAGAGCCCCCCCTCCTCCACTCATTACGCACACTTTTCCATTTCCCTCAAAGCTCTCATTCACTCCATCTCCCACCCCTCCATCTCCTTGATGAGTGTGACCGTTTTCAAGACCTTTTCCATCATGCCCCCGGTAGAGTTTCTGGATGGAGGTCACGTAGGTGTTGTCAACAAAGTTCTTTTGAAGACCCTTTAGCTTTACATAGTTACAGTAATAGGATGAGATCTCCTCTGGTGTGGCTCTGTCACTGGTTACATCCCTAGAGCAACAACAGAAACAAAGAGGAGCAATAGTACAGAACCGAACTAAAGCTTGAGCCATATCGTTGCTGTAAACCTTCTCCTCTGTCATTACCTGCGTTTCCCATTGGTCAAGTCTTTGTAGTTGACCCCGGGGAGCTCCATCCAGATGCCAAGACTAATAGTCAGCATGGAGCCTTCCATTGCCTGAAGTGATGAGAGAGGGAACGCCATAGATTAGACAGGTGAAAACAAAATGGCTGACTTTAAATCAAGATCAAAGTTTGTTACTTACATGCCAAGCACCCCCAGGTGTTCCCCTGCCCAGAACCAGATGTGGGATGTGTTGCTGCTTGTCCCTCCTCCACTGAAGGACAGAAGGGAATTTGTAGCCAAAGTCAGCATTAGGATGCAGGAGTGTGTCGAAAAGCACAGCCACCGGATTACTTGACCTCCCTTCAAGACCTTCACTCAGATATTCCAGATCCTGTAAAAAAAAATAAATAAATAAATGAGGAAAGTCATGCCTATGAGGTACCAGACTGACTTTGGCCATTTTAAAATAAGCAAGGATTGGTAGTTGCTTTGTTTTTTTACCTGTTCGGTAATGGGTAGATGCTTGGTGTCCTGTAGTTTCCTGTATAATATTGGGTTTGGGTGGACAGTTGCTGGGTCTAAGTACGGCTTGTATCCACTCAGCAGGTAGGACAAACAAATACCCGATGGCCCGTTGCCTAAACATAAATCCACATTTGGGAAATTACAGGATAGCATTGCAAAGAGGCACAAGGTGATATATAATACATGTTAGGTTGAAATTTGTGCTTTTTTAAGCAGTTTTCAAACCTGCAATGAACATCTAGACGTTTATGGAAGAAGGTGCACATGACACAGAAATAGATGAACTGGCCACAAAACCTTTCTTATTGTTCCTACTCAGTGGTTCAAAGTACATGTGAAGAGGTTAAAGCTCCAGCAATACTTATCATACAAAAAACAACTATATTGCTTGAGTTTTTATCTTGTTGCATTTACAAAAAAGGAATGATCCTCACACAGGACCTCCCTATTCTCTTTTCTGTCTTCTGTGAAGAGCATCTTGTCCTGATTTTCCCAACTATTGATTTGTGCTTTAAAATGTGTGCAGGATTGAAGGATGTATTAGTTATGTTAAACCAGTGAAAGGTCAGGCAAAAGGTTTACCTATGATGACCACAGGGACGGTGGGTGGATGCTCTTGTGGCAGAGTGGTCTCTTCCAGGAGAGGCATGGCTGCAGCCTGGGCCAGAGCCGGCACTGAGGAGGACAGGAATAACAGAAATGTGAAGAAAGTTCTAGAAATTCCTGTAGCTGCGTCCATTCAGTAGTCAACTAAAAGCAGAGCCTCATTTGTTCTTTGTCCCACTGTTTCCATGTTTCTGGGTCAAATTATTTGAACAGGTTCAAACCAGCTTACTGTCTTTTTGTCTGTCAGAGTTGTTGTTGTCTTATGTTAGCTTAGATCCTGTCTCCGTCGACCATCATCAGCTGACTCAGAAACACACACTGGGGGGGGGGGCTTTATTCATCCTGTTATTGTGCTTTCACGCACAGCTATGGCCCTCCCTGTCTGTCTGGGGCTTCACACACGTGGAAACACCCCGCCACAACACAGCATGCCCCCAGTTTTTCTCATTGCCGTCCCGCCGTGTCCACAAACCCCAAGTCCTACCGCACATGGCCCGGGGCAGAGCTAGCCTCTGTTAACCCCGGTACTGCTTTCCAGACAAAAGGGACTTCTAATCAGATTTATGTAGGCCTGGGTCTGTTGTGAAATGTAGCCGTTGAGCATGTGTACTGTGTGTTTGTGTGTTACGCGACAGTGCCATTGTGTGCCCGCCGGGCAGCAAATCCCCCCTGATCACTCCTCCGAGTGGGCCCTAATCCCACTGGGCCTGTTTATGTCTTTACCGCCCCTTTCAATGGCAGCAGGATGAGAATGTGGTCCTGGCATGCTGACAGATCAAATCATCAGAACACCCGCTCCTCTCATAGCCCCCCCACCTCCACCCCAATATACACACTCACGCTCACTCCCGCCAAAACATTACCCAATGGCTACAGCAAACCAGTGCCCACTTGCCCCACTTTCATACCAACCAAAACAGTGCCCACACCGCCTTTGTACATCCCAAAAGTCTGGCACATGTCCCTTAAAACTCCCCGTCGCCCATACAATCTGACTCACTTCCAGTCTCCCCCTCTCTCCCTCCCCCCTGTCTGACCTGTGTCTGTAGACCAACCAGTTGTCTTTGGTTGTCGGCTTATTTACCCTCTTCAATAAAAGCAACGAGATTCCACACATTGCATACCGTATCCATGCCCCCAGTTGGCAGACTGATACTGTTCAGGCCCCTGGTTGATCTGACAAAAAAAAAAACACCCGTGTGTGCAGTTGTTTTCTTTTGTTTGAAATTTCACCCATAAACCAGTGCTTATGTTATCCCACAGTGGATTTATGTTTGATTTCATCTACAGATAACAAATAAAACTGGACAAAAAAATGTAAAAAGCCCCTTCCAAGGGCTCACAGAGCACCTGTGCTCTATAATTTCTACATGATGCCACAGCAGCTCATGATGCATCATGAGCAAATCATGAAGCTAGATCTGTGGGCTGCATTTACTGTATCTTTGTGATAAGGTATAATGTCATTCAGTGCGCAAAAACAAACAAACAAAAAACCCAGTTCGGATAATCCAAAAACGCCGTTTTAAGTTCAGTGAAACCTCGACAGCACAAGTCATAGTTTAAATGTGACGATAATAATAATACACCCCAGGTGTTAGTGCGTTTCATCCTTTTGGGGTTTGTTTTACTCTCTTCCAGCCCGTGTACGCGCCTACATGTGCGCGTTTGCCAGCGTGTAGGACGCACCATACTTTTCTAGAACATGGTGCACGATGTACTGTTAGCTACCTACCACAAACAACTGAAACTTTGAGTTAAGCCTTTACAGCTTCACAGGAATGAACCTATCTGAAGTTAAAGGAAAACCATGCTAAGAAATATTAGTGTGTATAAACCCTTATGTGTACACTCCGTCTCACAGCAGGTTTAACTACACCCTCCTCTTTGCAACTGGAGATCATTTTGCACGGACCAGTCTGCATCTCACTTAAGAAAATTAGATTAAATTCAAAACAGGGCCGGGCTGGTTATACACGGTATCCGGGAATGATGCTGCAGCACGCGCTAAAGGATGGAAAGAATGATGCAGCAGTCTGGTACCCGATCCCAAACACCATCCTCATGGACCAGCAGCGTTATATCTTCCACTACACCGCTGACTCCAGGAAGCCTGCGTCCACTGAATCTCAACGAGCACATGCTACAGCCGCTATTACACCATCATTGCATAATTTAGGTCAAACACACACATGCGGCCATCCGCATCACTCAGTAACAGGATCTCTTACCGAGCTGTGATGTGTGTCAGTATCTCCCGGTCTCGTCCAGTTATCACGACCCACGGCACCGTTTCAAATCGTATAAATAGCCAGACACCGGTGGGAGGACCTACCCAGCTGTCTGGGGTCTTGTGAGAAATAATAAGCCAACCTCTCTTTCGTCATCACACACACACACAGACACACGAACAGGCACGCACACACACAGCCTTACCTCCGCGAGGTTAAATCCGAGCAGACCTGGTGTATGCAGATCTGATCGATGTGCAAATGTCCACTGAGGGGGGAGATCTTCTGTGTGCCTTGGTGGCAGAGTGTGAAAGAGAGAAACTGCGTCTCCGTTTTCGTCGTCACATGCGCATCTCTGCACCGCCGGGCGCGAGCGCGCTCACGGGGGAAGATCAGAGCATCTCTCTCAGCATCCTCGCAGCTCCGCCGACACTGCTGCCCGCTAGGTGGGCATACCTGAGAGAACAGTTTTATTTATAAGACGTGCACTGCTCAAATGTAGGACAGACACAGTGAGCCCTGCTACAGCTGCATATTATGGTCTGTCTTTATTATTTAAGGACTTAAATATCAAATCTGGCGTTTTCAATTAGAATTTTTTTTTTTATTGAGAATGGGACGATTTTGGTTAGAAACTTGCATTTTCTTGAAGTTTTAAAGGTAATATTCAGTGCTGTAGCTCATAGTTGCCAGATTTCTGGACAATACAGCCTGTGTGCATTTTAGGTTGTGACACACCTATATTTCAGTTACTCTAGATGAAAAACTACATTTATTTTATTATTGTAACCATATTATTATTTTTACTGTTATCACTATTAAACCTTTATTTAAATAGGTTGTCTCAGTGAGACTCAGATCTCTTTTTCAAGAGAGAACTGTCTAGGACCAAAGCACATAGAGACATTACACAATCTTCTGAAAAACAAAGTACACCCTCTTACATTCCTTAATGTTTAATGTATCAGGACATTTTTTTAAAAAAAAAAATCTGGTTCTTAGCAGGTCATAAAATTAGGCAAATACAACCTCAGATCAACACCAAGACGTGAAACAGTGTTATTATTTAATAAAAAAAAAAATGCAGAAAGCAGTGTGTGAAAAATTGAGTACATCTTTACTACCTTTATAGGGATATAGCATATTAATAAATAATCCTTAAAAGTTTATATATGTCCTCAGCAGATAAAAAATGCACTCATAAAACAGGCTCCTTAAAAATAAATTCATACAAATCAATAAGTCATTCCTCACCAGTTTTTTTGTACTAGTATTTGTTGACCTAGCTCATTCTGAACCAGTATGTGGCAAAGGCAAAAAATAATAATAATAATAATGTTGGAAGAATAGATTTTATCCTTTTGTTAAAAACATATACAAACAATTTGGCTTTTTAAAATTTCTTTTAACAGCTTGCATAATCACTTATAAAACCGCTGATTCTGCCTCTGCTCTTAAGATAAAGGAAACGTCCATTTGACACATCCCTGGTTGAGGTGAAGTTGATTCACAGTTAGTGAGAATGGGAGCCCCGCCTCCCCGCTTCATCATCCAATAAGCGGAGAGAAAAGAACCACTACTTCCTGTCCCCGATCCAAACACATGTACGTATGCTAGCAGTTAGCTTTGGCGAAAATACTTCTTAAGAGTGGCAATAAGTGCCACTGAAGATGGTTCACATCACTAGGATCTGCTTACGGAAGGTGAGTACTATAGAAGATTTGTATTGTGAATGTCACATATTTAACGGGGGATATTATACGGTTTTTGACATTAGCTGGAAAGCTAACTGTCAACGCTAAATACACCAAGCAGTAATCGTGTTTGTCTCTCATGTGGTATGTTAGATGATACACCAACTATCTCTATAGCTACTGCGCATGAGCAGCCTGCTGGAGATTGTTTGTAGGGCTCTGCCAGCTCTCCTCCTCCTCACACAGAGGGGCAGACACCAGTCCTGCTGTTGAGATGATGCCCTGTCCAGCTCTCCTTGAGTAAATATCAATTTCCTGCTGTCTCATCCACACTCTTGATATTGTGCTGGGAGGCTTGGCTAACCTTTTTTGTGGCTGCACATATATGAACGTGCCATCCTCGAGGAGTTTTTGAGCACTCTAGTTGCTCACCAATGCTCCACTGATCAATACACTTGTTAACCCAGAACAGCTTTCTGTATAGACTACGTCATGTTACCAAAATAAACTACATACATTACATACAAATAAAGTACATCAAGTAAACAGTAAAACAACAATAAAGTCCCTATAGAATATACATAGGTGCATATTTGTATATATAAAATATATATGAGTTACTGTTTAGCTTTAGTGGACTGAAGAAAATAGGAAGGATGCTCAAGCTGCGGTCAAATTTCATTATTCTTGTGAGATATGTTGGTCTTACCCTGGTAAATGATGTCAGTAAAACTTTTGAAAGATTCAATCACTTGAAGTTGCCTGTTAGGGTCTCTGGTGTTCTTCAATTTCTTAATACCAGTCTGATGTGTCTTTGACTCTTTGCAGTATGGAAACTTTGTTGACAATCTGCGGCTGTACGTCCGTGGAGGCAGTGGAGGGATGGGTTTACCCCGCCTTGGAGGACAAGGAGGGAAAGGGGGAGATGTTTGGGTGGTGGCGACGAAGAACATGACCTTAAAAAGGATAAAGGACAAATTCCCACAAAAACGTTTTGTAGCGGACGCAGGAGCCAACAGCGGGTAGAAATACAATTTTTATTTTAAATTCTGTCGATCATTAAAAAATGTCTATATTTTAGACCTTCATAGAGGTTTTGAAATAGTCCTGTAAGCACGAGATGGTGAGAGCTGTTTGGATCTCTTTTATCAACAGCGTTCGAGCTCTGAAAGGAGAAAGAGGGGCAGACAAGGAGATCCTTGCTCCTGTCGGTATCACCGTCACCACTGATGAGGGCAGAACACTCGGTACGTCAAATCTTTCACAGTCAGTCATGTGAATCTTGTTTTTTCTGACAGAAAAAGAACTGCCAGTGCAGTAGCTACCTGATTTTTGCAGTGAAGCTTCTTATTTCCTCTACCATTCTTCTTACAAGGTGACTTGAATGTGGAGGGCGATCGTGTGATGGTGACAAAAGGAGGATCAGGAGGCTCGCTGTACTCTGCGTTTCAGCCCAGTAAAGGCGAGGCTAAACACATCAGACTGGACCTCAAGCTTATAGCAGACATGGGCCTTGTGGGGTGAGAATAAAAGGGGAACAAACCACACTAACTGAATGCTGAGGTTCAGATTAGCAAAGGGGAACATCTGATTTTGTTCTGTTAAATCACCACCAGGTTCCCGAATGCAGGAAAGTCCTCTCTGCTGACAGCCTTGTCTAACGCCACACCTCAGATTGCCAGCTATGCTTGTGAGAAGATAACCACACGCATATAGAAAAAGAAAACGTGTCTTTTTTTTAAATTCTCAAAATATGCTTTGAAAGAAGAAATAATTCTGTGTTTCATTAAACTTTAATATTTTTCTGCCGTTTCGCAGTCACAACCTTAAAACCAGAGATTGGCAAACTGATATATGACGATTATAAGCAGGTACGAGAATTTCACGTGTTGCCTTGTGCTGTAACTGTCTGCGAAATCATTTCTTTTTTCTTTTTACTTGGCTTACTTGATTGTTTGCTCTTTTTTGGGGGCGCCGGTGTAGATTTCTGTTGCTGATCTCCCTGGCTTGATTGAGGGGGCTCACATGAACAAAGGCATGGGCCACAAATTTCTGAAACACGTGGAGAGGACCAAGCAGCTGTTATTTGTGGTGCGTAACTAACACAAACTATGTTTTTGCTTTCAGTGTAACCAGGTGAAAATTGCTTCTGATGACAATTTTGCATTTTGTCTGAATGCAGGTCGATGTTTGTGGTTTTCAGCTGGCAAGTAAAACACCGTTTAGGTCAGCCTTCGAAGCTGTGCAGCTTCTAACCAAGGTGAGCCTGAAGCTGCAAAGGCTGATGACTAGTTTTTAGATATTAACTCTGATCTCCTGACTCAGTCTTCTCTCCTTTTATTTATTTTTTTGTCCCTCGTTCTCCTCTGCTTTCTGACTGCTGCCTAAAGGAATTGGAGTTGTATAAAGAGGAGCTGTTGTCAAAGCCTGCATTACTGGTGGTGAATAAGATGGACCTGCCTGATGCTGAGGACAAGCTAGCAGAGCTGAAGGAGCAACTACAAAACCCAGCAGGTTAGACTAGAATTAGCACTAATGAGTAGAAAAGTTACTTAGGAGAAAAGACTGAAGACGAATTTCTACTTCCAGGGTTCACAGGCGTCCTAGTCTGTTCCAAACATTTCTCTGGCTCTGTCTGAGCCATGCCGCTTACTCTGTCAGATATCGACACAAGCGGCATGATGACTTTTTCGTTTTCGTGCATCTGAACTTCCTTTATGTGAGCATGTTTTTGCAGTTTGTTGGGAGGAAAAATTAGTTTTAAGAGTATTTCTGTTCCTTTTCTTTTCCCTGACAGAGTTCTCTGATCTGCTCCCTGAAGATATGATACCACAGAACTATTTGACCTTCAGACACATGGTTCCCGTTTCTGCAATCACCGGGTTTGGCATCAGCCACCTTAAGAGCTGCATTCGACAGTCCCTCGATGAAGACGCAGCCTTAGAAGTTAAAGCCACTCATCGAGAAAAGCTGCAAGCACTGAGGAAGCAGTCACAAGGACGTGCGTGAGTAACGTAGACGACATCAAGCGTCATCACGCAGGACTTTGCAGATAAACATCCTCTACCACGAAGCTCCTGGGAGAGCAAAACCACTTCAATTGATAGAAGTGATGGAGGTCTCTGCTTGGAGATGATCAAATTCTCACCGACTGATGCAAACTCCATCTTTATTTATTTAAAAGTGATCTGTTGTATAAGACTGATAAAACTTTGTGAATATCATAGAAATTCACAGGCTGGTGCATAAAAGGATTATAGTCAAGATGACTACATTAAATGATAAATACAATATATTCAGTTTCATCCAGTTTCTCACTACGATTTAAAATGTTTTTATTATTATCGATTTATGTTTTGTGCATACTCAGCTGCATCGTCTGTTTCACTTTACATGGGGGCATAATCTGCAATTCAAAGAACATGCAGTGTTGCAGAAAACTTGATACCAGCGATTTAGGCCATAAACTTATTAGGAACATGTTAACTGAGATAGTTTGTTTGCTGTAGGCTTATATAGAGTCTGATTTAATTTGCAACTAAGCAGGAACCTCAGTAATGACCAGTTGAGGCTGGCTCCAGCAGTGAGTCAGTCGTCACAGACTCCCATGTTAAAATGCTCAACAGCAGTAATACATTCTGATGCAAAAATGGGTTTTGTCCTCATTGTTTCCCCCTTCAAAGCAATTCCAGTGGGGGTGAATCTTTGCTATAACTAAACAGTTTCAATGCTGATAAGACCTAAAGGTAAGAGTTTGGTTGCCTTGCTCGGCAGGTGTACCGACACAGGTAACCCGTTGCTTTCCACTTGGCCTCATTTCCGCTAATTTGAGTGACTGAACTGGATCTCCTGACTGTTTTTTGATCAGTCATATGGTTTGCTGTGAGGTACAGCCTGGGCTAAGGGTTCACTCAACTTTTTGACAGGGGGAAATTTTAATTTTTATAAGGAGGCGAGTTAAAATTGGCAAATAAACTTGAAGCAAATTTGTGTTTGGTGATTTTTGATTTTATTGCTAGCAAACATTTAGTACAAAGATGTAATCGATTTAACAAATTTCCTTACTTTTTGTGCTAAGTTTACATGCGTCTGTGCAGTGCACCCATGTAGTTTCTGGGTGCACATGCTAGCATTGCCTGAGAAAATACAGTAGTACTAAATATGGACACTCCAAGCTCCAGAAGAAACATGCAAGTGTCAAGTCCAAAACCAGTAGATGATATCTTACTGGCCGTGTTTGTTGTCTTTAACTCATTGGTCACCTTATTAGGTACACCGTGTTAATATCAGGTTTGACCCCCTTTTTAATTATTAGTAGCTTTCAGTACTGCTTTAATTCTACATGGCAGATTCAACAAGATGCTGGAAACAGTCATCAGATTTTACTACATATTGACATGACAACTGCTGCAGATTTGTTGGCTGCACATCCACCACATCTCAAAGGGGAACAACCTTATTGAGATCTGCTAACACAAATACCCAGATGGACCATGGGGTTTGAACAGTGCTTGGGGGTTGCCCAAGAACACTGAGCGGGTCTATGCTTTCATGCAGTTTATGCCAAATTGACCGTACTGTCTGAATGTCACAGTAGAAATCGAGCAGGCATTGTTTAATCTTCTCTTGTTGGATTCTAGTAAGCTCTTTTTCTTAGCTGACAGCAGTGGCACTTCATGCGGTCTTCTGCTACTGTAACCCATCTGCTTCAAGGTTTGATGTGTTGTTCATACAGAGATGCTCTTCTGCATACCTTGGTTTGGTGTGCTCTGACTGCTGACAAAGACATTTAAGCCCAGAGAACTGCCACTCACTGGATATTTTCATTATGTCAATTAGATGTCCTCACTAAGATATGACAGTGTGTGTGTTTTCGTACTATCATGGTGGGGACCAAAATCTGACATTTACTATACTGGTGGGGACTTTCTGCACCGTGGGGATCAAAAACCAGGTCCCCTCTGGGTTGAAAGCAATTTTCACACTCAAAATGTGGTTTTAGTGTCAGGGTTACAATTAGGTTGTGGTTAGGTTTAGGGTAAGGGTCAGGGTTAGGCATTCATTTTTGATGGTTAGGGAAAGCATTATGTCAACGGGATGTCCCCACGAGGATAGCAAACCAGACATGTGTGAGTGAGAGAGTAAATATATGGTCTATAATTTGCAACCAGTGGAGTCACTCCACTGCAAGAAGGAAGGCTAATTTTTCTTCTCTTCCTTTCCCTTTTCTTTTAAACCTACAGACTCTGACGCTCTTACAGTCTGATTTTCGGGTTACACCAATCTGTACCTCAACACAGGGTAGAGATGTAAAGCATACTACAGTATATAAAATGCTAAGAGGCCGAGGAGTATTGTGCAGAGTGACTTAAATGTTTTGATAACACTGAGAATTAAACTGTCATGTAACCCTGAATCAGGTTTTATTAACTGGTTATCAAACCATCCTGGGAAATCAGAAGATAATAGAAAAGTCTGCACAGACAGAGGTGTTGATGAAAGTTTTATTTTATATTAAATATATTACAATACTGAATGATAAAGAGGAAAAAATATGGGGATTTTTGCATCATCAGTCTGTACAGCATACAGGCAAATTAAAAAATAAAAAAAGACAACTGCAGTGTCTGAATTAGTACATATGGGGCTCTTTAGGGTTCCTGGAGCAGAGTGCTGATGATTCTGGTGTGACGGGAACGCATGGCTGAGACTGGGTGGTACACAAATACATTCAAGTCTCTGGCCAGACAGCTGCTCTGCAGGGATCGGTCAGTCCAGCTGTGTGTGGAGGCAGATACAGCAGATATGTTTGGAGTAACACCTGTACAATCACACAAATCACTACTGCCTGCCAAATCACTACTGCCGTCCTCGATGGCGAATCCTCTAGAGTTTTGCCCAAGGCACCAGGACAAATGTCTCGCTGCTGCACAGTATTATGATGTTAGAAACATTTCTAAGGAGCTCAGAGATGATGCTCTCCCCAGCCTGGGGAAGCCCAGAAAGATCACTGGGCCGCTGGACACCGATAGTAAGACCAGAGGAACAAAAATAAAGAAAGTTCTGGTAGAAGGCAAATCATGAGCCCAGACAGCAACATGTGTCCAAACCTTACATCAGCACGTAGCATCGTATCAGCACATGCGTAAGGAACAACGGCTTCTATTGGCCCCAAAGGACAAAGGTGATGAAACGAAATGCTCTCCATCAAACTCATCAACCCACGTAATTACAATAATGCACTTAATTAATGTTTAAATAGCTGCTGTACATAATGCTGAGGGGGAAAAGGTGAACATTACAAAGGTACTTAATAAAAAAAAAAGATACTAGTAGCAATATTAGTCCAATATTGTGAAGCTCATATTACCTATACAGTCCTAATGCATACATGAATTACAAATGTAAAAGTGCCCACACTGGAACAAAAGCTAACAACAGTAAAATGACAAACATGAGGCCGTGACACAACAGTTTCTCCACAGTGTAGAGCACTGACTGTACAAAGAACTTGTTGGTGAGCGGGATTTGCATCCAGAAAGAAAAAACCCCACCTTAAATAATTACACTGGCACGACAGTTAGCTTCGAACCACCTGCCATGAGCTTTACAAGCAACTGTGGTACACAGACCCATTAAAAACAACAGGAAAAGGCAATAGGGGGGAAAAACTCATCCGGTGACATGCTCATTTCCTGTTATGACCTCATAAAGAGCCTACCGGCGAAATAATCTGATATAGATCTGTCATGCTGTTGGGTCTTCATAAGCTCGAACAGCAAGCACTGTACAGCATAGTTAATCATTTACAAGGCTAAATATCTCAGTCGTCACAGCTAAATTCAAAATGCGCATTTCAGTCAATTTCCAGATGCTGGCTGAGGCGGGTCACCAGCCAGATGTTCAATTACTCACATTCAAGTGGCCGCCACTGGAAAAATGGGAGTGCAGCCGTCTCAAACACACAAACACCTTGTCACCATCATTGGGAAATTTTCAGGAAATTACGTGAGTGACAAGCGGCACATCTATAACTACACCAAACACATCTCGTCCATTCGTTTCACTCGGGAAAACTAATAAAAATGTAGCTAAATTAATATCGATCGAGAACAGTCTAAGCGACGCTCTTATTAATGTGCCACAGTCAACATCGCTGGATGTCTGTGTGTGTGTCTCACAGAGATGCATGAAAATAGTGGCTAAGGTAAAAAATAAACACACATTCTGCTGTGGATGGAAAAGGCTATAGAGGTCACAGTCACAGAGCGGGAGAAACCCAGACTACAGGGTCTCTGAACTTATCTACAAATCAACAGGAAACAAAGAAATGTCTCTCTCTGTCTTTTTGTCTTTCAAAACAAAAGAAAACCCATACTCTGTGTGTATTTTACTGTACATATTTACACACAAACCAAAGGGAGGAACAGCAGAGTGGGGTCCATGTTGCGGTGATACAATATGAGTTACCATTAGTGGAGAGAAAGCATTAAGCCTACAGACGTTATAAAATCACAGCCCCATTTGCATGCTTTCCTTTCGGGTCAGACCGTTGCCTGTCGGAGGGAGTTGCCGATAAACACAGTCGTCTCATGCATACAGTGTTGGCGTTTCTACAGTAATTCACGTCAAAATGATCCGACGCAGATCCGGCGATGGCCTGGCTCCCACAGCTCCTTTCACAGAGGAGCCTGTACAATTCAGATGGGATGATGCTGAAGTGAATACGACATGAGACAAGCTAAAGAGGGTTAAGGGTGGTGTGGGGGTTTTGGGTGGGGTTCTGTCACGTTGGTGAAGCTTTGAGCAGACAGCAGGAACAGCTCAGTCTGAGCTCCAGCTGGTCTGGAGAGGATGTGGAGCTGGTGTCTCTGCCGGGACTCCACATCGTCACGTAAAGATCCACTGAATGAGGCTGTTTGGCAATACGGCCTCGCAGATGCTTGGTCACATTAACTCAAACTCAAACTCTGCCTGTTTCCTGTCCAGTGGGTGGGTGGGGCTCTCTCTCTTTTTCCTCTTTAGTCGCTTAGAGTCAATTTTGTATCGTTTTTGTGTTTGTTCATTCATAGAAAAGGAGAGATGTGTAGTTCTTTATAGTCTTGTGCAGAGAGGGCAAGACAGCTGTTATATTGAGGTCTCCCACAACTGAAAATAGAAGAGAAGAAAGAGAAGCCTTTTAGCATCTCCCAAAGTTTACTGCTGATCGGTCACATCACTTCCTTTTTCCACAGAGTTCAGGCTGGACTTACAGTTCTGCTGTTTTCCTTAAACCTTATGTCATTATAACG